TCTTAAAGGCCCCCTTTACATTTTTAGGCCCCCTATTGGATCCCACACCCTGGTTGAGTCCAGTTCGTGAAACATTGTCAGCTCAGCTCACACTCTTAGAACTGTGGGGCCCGACACTCACGCTCACACATTCAAAACCAGCCCTGCCTACAGTGACCGAGCTCATAATGAGTTTCTGATTGATCGATACAATCTTTATTACATCAAAATAAGATGAGAGCTCTGGCTGGGAGGGTTTCACTGTCTAGTGCTGGTATGAGGACAAGGTTTAATGGTGGGTGCTGGTTACCAGTGCAAGTGACCATCCATCACCCTGCACTCAAAAAGTGACAGACCCCTCCGCCCACAACCATCAATCTCCGAGAGCCAACGACCCCTGCTACACCCCTTTACAAACGCTAACCCAATAGGTGATCCGTAATTATGAGATGCCTTTAAAGGTCTGTCGTAAGCAATTATCAAAGCCATACATCTCTCGCTGCGAAAATATCCTAACAGCCCAGGATTACAGGTTTTTAATACCTGCTGTGTGGTGAGGAATGCCATCCGGTGGGGTGGAGAACGGGGTTAACAGTCTGTGTAGGATGTCAGATTGTGTCTGAACTGTAACTGGCATATGTGTCTCTATCCTCTCTTCCTGCCTGAATACACCATTGAGTTTGATTGACAGACTCTGGTACATGAGGTATGTAGGAGTATAACTTACAAAACGCTGCTTCCTGAACACTGCACTTATGAACCGAGAGTAAGTGTTTCATAAGAGTGTGACAGGAGAACACACGTGACACTAAGACGGCTGACCCATCAAATGATTCGCTCAACATATCTATCTTTATAGTGTCTGTGAAAGCTGAAAAATGCTGCATATGGCGACAGGAAGGCGACAAGGCACGTCCTAATCCAATGATTGTGTCACATCTTGTTTGTTTGTTTTTTTGATGGCTGCTTTTTTCCACTTTTCCACCGTCGGGCCAAACAGTTTTTTGAATGTCAAGGGATGTTTCCAGTTGTGTTTCCACTTGAGCCTGCTATGGCACAGTTACAAACTGTTCTCGGACCAGAATCATCTGCACGGTTGCCTAACCGCGCTAAACATGTTCTGGTAGAATCCATGAAGTGACGTCACAACTCATAATTGGTGACTTGTCCGTTGCCTGGCTACTAAATTCTCTGTAGCTGGCTTAGCACTCTATGTAAACGACGCAAATCCCAAATTAATAATACAATTAAAATAAATACCTGATAATCCTCCATAATGATATACACCAAGGCAACTACTGACACTTTTCTATTGCATTTCAAAGAGCGGGGGTTATTAGCTCCAGAGTGGAAAATGTAACCGTAACTGTACCAGGTTGCCTAGATCGGCACAGAATGGAACGGTTGCGTAATGAGAACCGTTCAGCCCGACAGTGGAAAAGCAGCTATTCAATGCCTTTGATATCCCATAATCCAGTGCTTTTGATTTCGTGACAGATGGGCTAACATATATAAAGCTTTCGGAAGCTGCCAAAGTTAGTTCACTTGGCGGACATCTTATCAATGCCTCAGGGCGGTTATTTGCTGCAGGAATGAGTCTCAAAACTCTAAATTAAATTAGCAATTTTGCACATCTTTCATTGTCCCAAAGTCATTGTGTTCTGTGAAGGTTTTTTTGTTTGTTTGTTTTTTGGTTAAATGCTTAAAATAAGGTCTTTGGTTCAAGCTCAAGATATCTTCACATTTTATCATTCTTAAAAAAGTGGATTTACAGAGGTTGTCATAAAAAGATCTTTATTATATGTTTTAATTTTTAAAGCACGCTAGTATCCCGAGACACATATTTAAACTCTTCTCCTCCTAGCAAAAAGTTGTAGAGGCCTCCAAAGAGAAGACCTCAAAAGCTGCTTAATTCCATCAGCAGGCCGTGGGACAGAAGTAATTACGTTTGTGACACTAACTGTGCTCGTACAGAGAACATTTCAGTCACGCTGGCTGGTACATCAGCGGCCTGCTATTTATAAACCTCCTCTTGCACAAATCCAGAGTTTGGACTGGGGCTCAGCTGCAGCGAACTCTCCGACTCCCGGACGCTCCGTACTGCTGCTAATGAACATTTCCCTATGATCCACCACCGCCGTGTGCTCAAGTCCAATTTAAGAGTGGTTTGCTTTGGTATTTTCTGGTTAAACTTCAGGATTAGCCTTTGATAAGTGAATCTTGTTCTTTCAAAGTAATTCAAGTTGTCAGGGCTGTGGCCCATTCTTAATGCTCATTCTCACAGTTGAAGGTATACTCAATCCTGTACATCTATGATCTTTGTACGAGCACAGTTAGTGTCACAAACGTAATTACTTCTGTCCCATGGCCTGCTGATGGAATTAAGCAACTTTTGAGAGGTCTTCTCTTTGGAGGACTCCAAACTTTTTGCTTGGTGAAGATTTTACATGCGTGTCTCGGGACACTAGCGTGCTTTAATCAGACTCACGTACAGGCTGAGAAAAAAAAATCAATTAGAATACATAATGATGTTTTTTTTTTTTTTTTTTTTTGAAGATAACCTCTGTAATCCACTTTTGAACATATGTTGAGCTTGTGTTAGACCTTATTATAAAAAATTAAAAAAAAAAACCTTCAAAAAACACATTGAGTTTGGGACAATGAAAGCAGATTTAAATTAAATAAAATTAAATTAAAAATGTGATGAGCAGAAAAAAACTTATTTCAAAAGCGGTAAAAAAAAATCCCATCCATCCATACACACAACCATCCATACATCCATCCATATATACATGCATCCTCACAAGCATCCATCCATACATCCACACAACCATCCATCCATCCACCCATCATGCTGCATACACACAACAATCCATCCATCCATACATGCATATATGCATACATACATACATACATACACAAAACCATCCATCCATCCATACATGCATAACATCCACACAACCATCCATACATCCATCCACACATCCATCCACACAACCATCCATACATACATCCACACAACCATCCATACGTACATCCTTCCATACATCCATTCATCCATACATGTATGCATACATCCATGCATCCATGCATACATCCACACAACCATATACATCCATCCATCCATCCATCCATGTCTTTACGCATGCCATCTCTCTCTCTCTCTCTCTCTCTCTCTCTCTCTCTCTCTCTCTCTCTCTCTCTCTCTCTCTCTCTCTCTCTCTCTCTCTCTCTCTCTCTCTCTGTACCACATCTCAAATTATATGTGCATAAATTTCTCCTGTGTCATAATCCTGAGAGCCGAAAGCATGCAGCTGGGCTCATCTTGTCTGGCCTACCCTGGCAGTTTGGAGGCCACACAGATTAAACGACTGATCCCACTTCCACTTTCATTTAAACGACCATTAGCCAAACAAAAAGGGGGCCAGTGCCGGCAGCAGGCCAGACTGATTGGAATTCCAGTGAGGCGCACCACCTGTCGATACAATGATTTCCTGATTCATGAATGCATTCTAGGAGCTGCAGCGCTTTAGCTAATGATTCTGGGTGTAGGAGATGTATTGAGAAGGGTGGGGTCGACGAAAGTAAGGATGGAGGTATGCAGAGTTGGAAAGCAGTGAGAAAGAGAGAGAGAGAGAGAGAGAGAGAGAGAGAGAGAGAGAGAGAGAGAGAGAGAGAGAGAGAGGGAAGATGCTTCTGATTGATGGAGAAACGAGCCCCAGGGTTGAGCCTTCATCCATCATTCCCTGTGGAGACGCATGTTTAAAAAGTCATTTTCATTAGAGGAGAGAGAGTGTTTACAATCACGGACACATACACTCACATATATGCTCGGTCTTATAAAGATCCACCTTTGGCACTTCAAACATTATTAACGTTTTGCTTTGTCTTCTTCCCAGAATGCCTTTGGGAAACGCTCCACTAGTCTCTATTGACCCACCATCTTTGATTAGCAATCAAATCACAGAAACAAATGAGCTAGCATTTCACAAAGAACTATTAACGTTTCCAAATATCAGTGATTGCTAAGCTGCAAAATGTAGTTTTAAACCTTTAGCTAAAGGGATACTCCACTTTTTTGGAAATAGGCTCATTTTACAACTCACCCAGAGTTAAACAGTTGGGTTTTACCGTTTTCAAATCCACTCAGCCGATTTTCTGATATTTAGAAGAATATCAGTAACCAGACAGTTTCTGGTCCCATTGACTTCCATAGTATATATTTTTTCTACTATGGAAGTCAATGGGACTAGAAACTGTCTGGTTACTGATATTTTTAATTACAATATTATTAACACAATGGTTTCATCGCAGACACTTCTATTTCAAATGTCATTCTTTCAGTGGAAGATAAAGGAATATTTCAGGTTTACTACAAGTTAAGCTCAGTTGACAACATGTGTTGTAAAATGTTGATTTCCACATTTTAGTACAGCCACAAGATTTAAAATATACATCACAAATGTTATGTCTGTGAAGTTGTATCTAGTTTTACAACACCATAAAACCTAAAACCCTTTAGAGGCTGTAAATAAAAAAATAAAATAACCAGCTTTACAGCTGAAGTAATGCACATGTTTTTACAAATAAGTGTTTATAGTTTATAGTAAAACTTTTAATTTGCAAATCTCGCTTTTAAATCCTCAAAAAACGTACCCGATTTACTGTTTGTAAGTACCCCACCATGACCTTGACCCTAAAAAAAGTATTTATTTTAGAAATGAGGGTTGATTCTTTTTTGTGGTAATGGCATTATGCCACAAAAAGCTGTCAATTTGGCTTAACTACTATTATTTTTTGTCATATCGATTCAATTTTGATTGAATATCGATTCAATAAGAGATTTTTAACTTTTAACATTTCTTTATTATCAAATTTACATGACAAACTAAAATGATCTGAAAACATTTAATTTGGCCTGTATTGATTGCAGAAATTTGTGGAGAAGATGTTAAGAATGAAAAGAAAAGGCTGTTGATTTGTCATATGTGTTCTTATTTTTCCTCTTTGTTTTGTCTTAGTGAGCGGTGGCATGGAGTTGGGACCCACACTAGGGCTAAAGAAGTCCAGCTCTCTAGAGAGTCTGCAGACTGCCATGACAGAGGCCAAGAGGAACGAGCTACTGCCCTTCCACAGGCCCCGCCCACACATGGTCAGAGGGCGTGGCTGCAACGAGAGCTTCCGCGCAGCAATCGACAAATCATATGACGGCCCACCAGAGGATGATGATGGTGAGTACCCACAATGCAGCAACAACACTGTCAACCACAGTAGATTTAAAGGTGCAGTGCGTCGTAGCACCACATTTTGTGCCACTTTTTAATACCAATTATTTTGAAAATGATCATAAAAAAAACTGTATAGGCTACAAATTTTTGTGGAAACTAATACTTTTTTAAAGATTATAACATTCAAAAGAACATCATTTATTTAAAATAGAAATATTTTGTAACATTATAAATGTTTGTACTGTCACATCATTTTTATGCATCCTTGCTAAATAAAATGATTAATTTATCTCTCTCTTAAAGAAAAAAAATATTACTATTATTATAAAAATATTACTAATGAACTACTGAATAAGTGTAAATCGAAAGAAAAAGAATAGAAATATGCGAGGATATAAAATAATAGTAATAAAAGTAAGACTTTTAAAGACATGTACAGTCGCTTCAGGTATATTCAACATGTTACTTTGATTCTCCTTGACTCACAGATGTCTGTAGTTGAACATGTTTATGCTACATCAGTATGAATAGTGATTGAGAATGTGTGTGAGTGAAGTCAGTGTGTGCCTGTTGAGGGAGAGTAATTGAGAGTAAAGTGTTTGGCTTTGTCCCTGTCATGTGCTTCCTCTTCCCACACACCAGCCTAATTGGCCCTTCCGTGAGACGACAGACTACAGACATGTGGCGAAAGAGAGAGAGTGTGAGAGAGGAGAAGGGTTGTTCATTAGGGTCAGTGCGAACAGATACGCCACAGCTGAAGATCCTGTCCTATCCACACTCACATCCTGATTCAGTATCGAAATTCCCTATTCATGGAGATCGAGATAAAACCGGATCTCTTTGTTGTGAGACTTTCTCTGAAATTTCAATCTGAGATGTGGTTCAACTGTGCCACTCAGGATGACCTAGTTAAGAGTTCATAGCTTAAAAACAAATTCATTAACACAAATTAGCAGGTCATTTTCTCATTTGATCAAGGACGTGTGAAAACATCTGCTGATTCCATCGTGTTGAGATACCACACATACACTTGCGTGTGCACAACCAGTTCTTCTGGTCAAGAAAACATCGGCAGCTTATTGCTAATTACTGAGGATAGTAATTAGGCACACAGCGTTCCACTCACTTCTCATTATTGCCCCTGTTGTGGGAGGATAATCTGCCTATGTGTGTGTGTGTGTGTGTGTGTGTGGTCCAGGTAAACCGTATGAGTAAATGAGTACAAAATGTCCCAGCAAAGATGAATCCGAAATCCTTGTCCGTGTGGGGATATCTTTTGGCCCCCATGAGAAAAACAGCAAATAAATCAGACTAAGTGATTAAAAATATAAAAATGCAGAAAGGTTTTTGTGATTGGTAGGTTTATGGGTAGAGTTAGTGTAAGGGGATAAAATATACAGTTTGTACAGTAGAAAAATCATTATATCTATGGAAAGTCTCCATAAAAAGTGTGTGTGTTTGCATGCATGTGTGATTATTTACATTCATATGCTATTGCTTCTCAATCTATTCATACATACCCTTGTTGAAAACAAACAAGTAACATACTTTTAAAAATGTGAACTTGTTATGAAAAAGAATACTGAAGAATATACTCAAGTGTTAACTGAATGTAATGTTTCCAGACACTTAATTGCATGTTAATTGATATTAAATTAAAATTTTTTAGTTTATATTAAATTCAGTTAGCTGACCTTTTAGTGTTTTTGACCCACTTAAATGGTACTTAAGGACATCTTTATATTTTATTTCATAATTAATTTTAATGTCTTTAAAATGTGGTTAAAATGAACTGTTGAATGTACCGACATCATTTGTTGTAATCTAAAGTATACTGTAATGTAATTTCTATTGAAACACGTATGTCATGTATTTAAACATATATCTAATTAAACATTTGCAATGATGAAGTTGCAATTTGGTACATTTAAGCTATATAGAATGACTAAAAACAATCCAGATAAAATGATAATCAAGTACTTAACATGTGCTTTAGTATGTAACTTCAATAAAGCATGACTCAATGTTAAAATTTTAATTTGACATTATTACAATATCTACTTTAACATGTGCTCAAAGGTTATCTATTTACACTTAAGTGGCATTGTATTTCATTAATATAATATCTGTGAGTACACTTTTTATTAAATATGCTATTTAAGATTTGAAGTACACTACAAGTCCACATTCAGTGCAGTTAAGCACATTTCTTTTTTTTCTTTGTATGGTATGTCACACTTCTATAAGTAAGTAAGTAAGCCTTTACACAACTCCAGGAGTCTGGCTGCAGGTTTTTATTAGTCTACCAAGAAACGGTCATACTTACAAGGTTTCGTACTGGAATAAAGAATGCTTTTAAGGAAGAACTAATCACCAAGGTTTGAAAGGTTTATGGAATCAGGTATTTTGATTTTTTTTCAAGTAGATATTAAACCAGATATTTTCACTGACAGATCTAAACATTCTGATTTTGCTTTATATCTTTGTGAAATAGTTTCTCTTAACAATTCCAGTTCCTGAACGCTACATTCAATGATTATTTGAATACTTTTCAGGAAGAAATATTTGAAAAAAAGAAATGTAATTCAATAGCAAATGATTAGATTTTATGTATTCATTGTTGGAACCTGAAACTTCCAGTTGCGAGCCTTGAGCCTTAACCACTACACCACCAGCCCAAAGAAAAAAATCAAAGCGACGCCGTCTACTAAGAGGCCTTCTCACATGGAGAAGAAACCATATAAATATCAAAGGCCATACATCAGTGAATATGATAAACAGAGAGGCATTTAAGGAAGGGATTTATTTCCGTTTGAAATGGTTTCTATTATTTCACTTTGAGCTCACTGCAGTGTCATTATAGCTTTATTATGTAAGGCTTTCAGAGCATAGGTACTGCTCTCTTAAGTCATCAAGCCCTGCGCTTTTTAAGTTTTTTTTTTTTTTTTTTTTTTCATATTGAGACGTGAGCATGATGGGAAATAGCTCCCCTTTTTTTCTTTATCCTTTCCCCCTCACACACACACCACCAGCGTTTAGCATTGTATTCAGCGGATTGATATTTACAATAAGCCTTTGCACTGGTCCGAACAAAAGAGTTTTCTGATGCATATTAGAGAAGTGGGAGCTGGAGCGGGCCTTTGAGGTTCCTCTGTATCTCCGAATAATAGGGCGGCTGTACAGTCATTACCGAGCCTCCCGCTTCAATGCTGGTTTAAACAGCGAATCGGTGTTTGTTTGTGTAGAAATCAGGCCATGGGGAAACGGATGCTGCTGTTGGCCTTGGACTAAGTCTCGAATGAACCGACTTGTCCTCGAACCCGTTTGTGTAGATGAGGCTCAGAGAGTTTTGCATGCTTTTTAAAATTTTGTTTTATCTCTGTCGTTCAAGACTGAACTGGTTCAGAGTCATATTGAATGCAATATATTCTTTGTCACCAAGAAATAGAAGTGTATTTTTCATGACTTTCCTGTTTTCCTTTTCCATGTAAAAAGTTACAGGGCTAACTTACTTAACATAAAAGTTACTTTAACTATTTATTAAATCACCCAAGGCTCCCCATTTGTCCAAAACAATATTCAAAGGCACCAAGCTGATATGCATCTCGGGTCTGTTGTAGTAGAAACAAATAAACCCCAAATATTTATTTATTTATTTATTATTTATTTATTTATTTTTTTAGTGTTTGTGTTAATATTTTCATTGTTATTATATAATTCAATTAAAATCATTTTAAGACTTATTGGGACCCCCTGGAAGTTTGCTGAGGCCTCCTGGTTGAAAACCACCATATTAAATAATACTAAAACAAAAAAGGTCGTTCATTTTATTTAAAAAACAATAATGCTTTTGATTTTAATATTTAATGAGAAGTTTTCTTGTGAACTCCTCTTAATGCCTGGTTCAGACTACACAATCTCAATCTCTTCTGTACACAGCTTTCAAACATGGCGAAACGAGCTGCTAGGTGAAATTATGTGATGGAGGAAAGATTCATGGAGTTATAGCAACAATACTACTGAGTTTATAATGTTTCCTCAAGGTTTACCATGACAGAGTGAAAAAAGATAAATGCTGGTGAAAAATAGCAGAGGTGCTTCAGCAACTGGAATTAGCATTAAGCTAACACATCGCTTTGGTAGTGTTACACTCTTGTTTCTGTGTCAGTCGCTAGTTCCACCTTCTCTATGACATCACACACGTAGTTAAAGATGGCAAGTGATGATTGGTCGGGAAGTAACGTGTAGTCTGACATGTTTCTTGTCCGTGACACGACAAGAATTTAGTTGTCAAAATCGCATAATCTGATACAGTCTCGTAACAGACAAAAACATTGTGTAGTATTAAACTGGCGTTAGAGTAATTTGTTTACAATTTGGACTAAAATGGTTATGTTTGAATGCACAAAGTCTGGCTCATAACAGTCATTCAGATATATTGACTACACTGTTGATTACTGATACATTTGTATCAATGGAAGAATGCATGTACAAGAACCAAAGAACTGCAAATTGAATCTCAATTGGTCAATTTATCAGCTTGGCGTATTACAAGATTTGGTATGTTTGCCTCGTATCAGTTATGTCACCAACTTTGTCAGCTTTTGAGAAATATTGTCTCATGTTTCAGTTATTATTGGCAATTCTATGTATAATTTGCCCTTGTAACTGTAAATTTTGGTCACCCTGCTCCCTACGCCTCAATATCGGTCATTGAAAAACATATTACCGGTAGTCAATCTTTCGGTTTCCAGCCCTGATCTCACTTGTCTCTTCACGGTCTAATTTTATTCTTGTCATATGTTGGCCTGTAAGATACAACTAGCCATCAATAAATCACAGTGTACAGGGCTATCTGGACCCTCCCCTGAGCTACAAGTGGAGGGTTAGTAAGATGGCCGCTGTGAGGCTTATGAAAGACTGATGCTTTTTCGCACGTCTCTTCATCTCTCTTTTATCACACTCTCTGAGGCAGCCTGGTAAACGTACATCTGCTCCCAGCACCACCGCCACCATCTGACAAATCTCAGAGCGCAGACACATAATGCAGCCACAATTGATCGCCACACACACATACAGTGCCCCACAGTGGATAGCCAGTAACAGATGGTTATGTCAGCAGGTTCCTCAGTTACCCAAGCCTCTTTTTTTTCCACTTTTTCCAATGCTAATCTTTTTCTTCCTCTTCATCCCTCTCTTTCTATCCAGTTATCTGCATCCCTTCTTTCTTTTTTCTCTAGATTATGATAATTTATGATGCTCCAGGGCAGATTAGCTGGAAAATATCTATGAAGAGATCTTTTATATTTCCTCAACTCCAACTGAGATATAGGCTAGGATACTGAGACACTAGGACTAGGCCATTTGAAGGTAAATACTGAGTGAATATAGAAATATGTTGAGATTTTCCTATGCCGTTTATGACGTGGTAGAGATGTTTATGCAGTTTGTTAAATAAACAAGAAGAAATGTGCAATAAATATGAATATTTTGGTTATGCTGCCCTATTGTGGGGAACTATATGTTCATATTTTCTGTTTGCCGCTTGTATTGAAACAGATGAGGGGTCCGACCAGAGCTCTGGACGAGACACTCCGGTTAGTGGCTCCTCCAGACAAGGTGTGGGCGACAATGAGGAGAACAAGAAAGACAAAAAGAAGAAAGCCAAAAGCAAAAAGAAAGATAAGTTGAAAAGCAAAGGAAAGGAGAAAGAGAAGAAGAAACCAGAGGAGGTCGGTGATGAGTTGGATAAGAAGACCAAGAAGAAAGGATTCGGGTTGCTTAGGTAAGACCCTAGTTCTTTGTGTTTGTATTTCCTTTCGTCTGTCCCTCTCCTCTTCTGTCTTTGGTGTGTTGTGCCTCTCTTAAGAGTTTCCCCAAAAATGAAAATACTGTCATCATTTACTCACCCACATATATATATATATATATATATATATATATATATATATTTTTTTTTTTTTTAACAAGTATGACTTACTTTCTTCCCTGGAACACAAAAGGAGATGCTTTGAAAGATATTTTGGTCACATTTTTTTCCCCATTCAAGTATAATGAATGAGGACTGAAGGTTTCAAGTTTCAAAAAGACAGAAAAGCACCATCAAAATATCATGAAGACGGCCCATTTGACTTGTGTACTTTATTTCAAGTCTTCATTATCTGAATACATTTTTCTTGTGACCAATTGTCCAAAATGTTAAGTTGTTATTCAATGATTATCTTCCCAGTGAGCCTGTTAATTGTTGCGAATGGATTGCGTTAGTGAGTTGGACTCGAGAATCAGGTGAGCCACTTTGCAGAACGAACAATTCATTAAATTCACTGATCATTGAAGAGATCCGATTCAAAAGAGCTGTTCATTTAAGAATCTAATGTCGCTGCTTCACTTATGACTTCTAAGGAGAGCTAGGACAAGTGTCCTGTAAATAATGACTTTTAAAATTTTGCGGCCTTTTTGAAGCTTAAAAACTCAAAAGAGAGACCAGCACAATTCTTAAATATACTTTTGTATTCTGCAGAATAAATAAAGTCATACAGGTTTGGAGCGAACATAAAGGTGAGTAAATAATTGAATCTGATTTTCGTTGTCATATGAAGTATTATTTTATGCTTGAGGGTGGTTTGATTAAAAGATTCTCCCACACATGTAAAGGTCAGTATAGATGTTAATTTGACACACGCTAAGCTGTGGCGTTGGGTCACGTGTCGTGTGGCGGAATGTTGGCTCGAGTTGCTGTTGGGACGCTCTGCTGGCTCATGCTCGTGGTTGAAAGTGTCTCGACCCGCTTGCGTGTGTGTAACCGACTTTGACCGCTGGTAAACAGAGTAGTCATCTCCAGCTCCATATGGCACGCCGTCTCTGCGTCACAGCGCTCAATCTCCCCTGTCTTCACTCTGCATCAGTGCCAGGCCTATTTGCATCACGGTTGGCACCTGTGCCAACCCCTGCCCATCTGCCCGTCGATCGACTGGCCGGCCGGCACTGGCTCCACCACCAGCAAGACCAGGCGGCTCCATCACAGTGGAGGACGACCCGCATGACTGATTCTACAAATCAGAGCATGGACGCCCCGGCAGGCTCCACCTAACGGGCAATTAGCTCTATAATTGTTTTAATTTGGATGGCTGCCGGGAAAACTGAAAAGCACACCATGCTGTTACAACAACATGCCGAATATTCCAACAGAGAGGGAGAAATAGAAATGGCAGAGAGAGGGAAAACAGCCGGAGAACCTGATTCAGCTGGTGTCTTTCTCAAGGTGAACCGTCTCGACTTGTCAGGAAGTGGGGGCTACGGCGTGGCTCTCGCTTCTGTTAATCTGACTCGGCCTGATCCCACTGTTTTTCCTCTTCCGTGTGTCTGTCGAGAGTCTGCCAGAGCGCCCACTGCGGCCAGCTCTCCTCCCGCACCCATGCAGTCATTCTAATGCGCACCGTTGTTCTGAGGAGATAAGCGTTTATGTGCTGGCTTGTCAGTGGTTGATGGGGTGAGGAATGTAAAGGTTATTGAAAACCACCGTAGTTTTATTTATTTATATTTGGATGGCAGCGGGGATTAGAGATGTGGGTTCAAGAGGCGTTTGGTGGCAAAGCGTGCCATGGAATTTGACACAGCTTTCGGTTAAAGCTGACGTAACCCAGAATCCTTTCCTGCAAGATTGCCCTGTCACCCTGCATGGGCCAAATATACACGGATTAAATGGACTGAAAATGTGTTGATAGAAAAGTTTGTGAGCATTCCTGCATAGCTTTTTTTATTTTTACAATGCTTGTCTAAAGTAACTGATGAGTCTTTGCTTTACATGACTTTCATTGTGAGGTTGTGTGTCTGCATAAACCTTTATTCTTTGGAACTGTCAGATTGTCAAGGTTACCACAGACACTTATAGGCTACATACTGTAGTTCATTTTGCCATTGTACCTTAAAGGAATAGTTCAACCAAAAGTGAAAATTACCCCATAATTTAGGAGAAACAAAGAAGAAAGTCATAAACCTAAGATGGCTTAAGGGTAAGTTATTAATTATAGGATAGTTTTCATTTTTGGGTGAACTATTCCTTTAAGTGACCTGCTCTAATGAATATCAAGGGCTAACGCAATAAACTTTAACAGATTTTTTTAATACATTATTCCGTTTGTATGACCCTTATTTGTCCTTATATTTTTAACATGCAACCAGGGACTAAAAGAGCTCAAGCATTCTGTAGATCGATGAACAATTATTGACTGCTCTTTTCAATTAGCATTATGTGTATTTGTGATGTCTGGCCTCAAAGGTTAAGAGCAGGTGAAGTACACCCCTTGAGAACCATGACCTCTAGCCCCAGCAACTGTAAATCAGTTTCCAAGTGTCCTGAAGTGTCTCTCGATGATGAAACAATCTTCATTCACAGTGTTTAAAGAGATAAGGTAATTCACTAAATATTCTTTTCATCATCATTTGCTCATCCTTATGTTGTTACCGACACGTATGCTGTTATTTTACATGTTCCAAAAAGAACAGAAGACAATTTGGAAATAGTTAATTATTATGCAATGGTCATTTTTGGGTGAATTATTCCTTTAATTAATGAGATGCTGAAAGAGGTATTTCAGTTTGTACAATTGAATGTCAGCCATCGTGTTGTCTAGTGTGCCAATGCTATAAACACCGTTTGGGTTCTCTAATACTAAATATGAATGTCTTATTTGAGGTCAGAATCCCTAGACATTGTCACTGTCTAGTTTATTTTCTGGCTTAGTTTCTTCTTCTGTTTTATATGTGCCTGTTAAATCTTTTGCTGGCCAGTGTGGATGGTATTTTGTTCTCTGCCTGGCTCAGATACAATATTATTGGCCACTACTTAGTGACCAGTGGGAGTCTCTGGCTAGTGTCCATTTTGCAGATTGTGGCCATGTTGATCTGGTGGTAGCTGTGTGTCAGTGCTGCAAATCTGGGACATTAAAGCCAGGACAGTGCCCTGTAGCTCTGTAATAAACATATGACAAAAGAGGAAAATCAACCTTTCATGTCACGCTGTATCTCAGTCCTTGGCATTCAAAGGCTCATGCTGAAGTAGAGTCAAAAATAGCCTTTCCACAAGCTCAGGTAAACACTAATATAAAAAAGGTGTTATAGATACAAAAAAAAAAAAAACATTATGTAACTCACCTAACACTAATAATGCAATAAACATGAACATACGTAAGATGATGCAACATAAAACCCTTTACTGTGTGGGTATAGCATTATACATGTAGCAGTTGCATGGCTGTTTAAGCGAACACTGATGCTGAATGTGAGCTACCTACCTAGACAGCATCATATAGGCCCTTACTGATATTAATTATTTCATTAAATGCTGAGAAGTACAGTATTGATCAAATCAAATCGTTGATTTTACCCAGTGCTTGTGTCTTCTGTGTATGTTTATCCTCACTGTCTGTATCACAATTTTAGCTTAGCAACATGCTAACATCAGATTCCATTTGGAATCAGTGAGTTGAGCTCCCTTTGTGTTCCCTACCTGTGTGTACAGTACATTTAGTGTTAGAACATTTAAATACATGTGTTTGTGTGTTAAGTGTTAAATTAGTGGTGTGACAAACAAAACTACAAAATATTGTAGTGATTATTTAGCACTAAAATAGAACTGTATAGCTTGTGTGGGTGAGTATGTGACAAAGATGGAGTAGCTCTATGGGAGGGTAAGGTATAGCCTCAGGTGGAGGATGGGACCCATTAGGATGTTTTACATCTTGCAGACAGATGGAGGCCCGTGTGGACTACCAAATGCCTCTCATTTTACTGCTGTGATACACAAACACACACAGACATTACACTGGCTAACACACACAATTCTTTTGAGACCTGCAGTTGCAAATATAACCGTGCACACAATGCTTTGCACCTCATAGCCACAAGTGTTTAGCAGCATTTTTTATTTTTTTTACTTTACTTTTACTCATTTTGCAGTAATTCCCTATTCATCTTTCCTGCAGTCAGATCTCGGCCATATCTTTTCAGACACTTTGAACGCATTAAACACTTCCAGACTTTACTTTTATCTCATCAACTCTGCTACTTTTTATCAGAAATGAAATATTACATAATTAACCTTAATAATGTGAAGCAATTCAGCAAAATTGCTGTTCCTCAAAGCATCTCGGCTCGCATGTAAAACTGTGACCGAGCATATGACTGTCTCCCATTAGAGGCGAGGGAGGAATGTGGCTTGCAGTTTTACCTTTTAAGGCGAAAGATTAACAGGGTGTCTCTTCGAACAGCCATGTTTGATAAACAGTTTTGAAGGCAGTGCTGTACCATTTTGGGAAATAAAAAAATAAAACCAGAATAAGATGGTTAGCGGGTTTCCTAGTCAGCTTTTTTAACTGAAAACCATGAGATACTGATGGAGTGAGTGGTGGAATAAGAGAGAATGAAAGAGAAAGTTTCTGCGTGTGTGTAATGATAGGGCTTTTCTCCCAGTGGATGTTTATGTAGAGGAGAGAGAGAGAACAAGTGTTCACTACTAATGCTACTGCCATTAACAGAGACTGCAGCAGGCCTGCTCCCTCCATTCTGTCACCAGCTGTCTTCTTTTCTTTCTCACTCTTCTGCCTCTCTCCTTTCATTTTTCCTCACATCTCTTGGCCATTTTGCCTTCCAGCGAATTCCACCACAGCTGTCGTGATAGAGGATCTTTTCTTTGTGAAGAATGTTTGGTAACACTGTTAATAAGACTCAAAATAGTATTTAAGCAAGATAATGTTTCATAAGAGTTATTCATTTGCTGTTTGAGAC